GCAGTAGTAGTAATAATAATGCATCATTTGAAAGTGCTTTGGTCAAAATGTCAATTGTATTCACATATATAGCCCAGTTGAGTGATATCCCAGCTGTGCTATATCCCAAAGATATGATGGAACAGCGTGAGGCATTAGAACCACTAATTTTTGCATTGTTGGACCATGAGATAGAGATGTATTTTGGAGGCCTTCATCCAGCAGTATATTGATCATGGTTGATGATGATGGTGATGATGAGAACTTCTACACAAAGTACAGCTAAACGTTGGGTTAGGCTTAATAGTGCCACCTAGGTACGTGCATCCTGTATTGGATTAACGGTGTGTGTGTGTGTGCAAGCCCACTAAATACACAGCGCGTTTTTGCTGCTTCACCACTATGTGCCAACACCATTCATGAAATATGCACTTAGACAGCGCATTGTCTGCGTGTGCAAAGTGCAATTAAATATGAATGGTGCATTTTTACCACTTTCTGCAGCATGTGTGCACTTGTGTATGCACAACACCAAAAATATGTGCAATGTATAAGTCATAGGCTGTGTTTAATGCACGAGCATATCCGTAAAAAAATGTTCACTTCAGATTAATGTATCCCAGTAGTGTTTGATCAAACAAAGCAAACCCAGGACCAATTTCCACTTGACAGAGGTTTATCGTGGGAGCTTTATACCCTGTTAGTGAGTAACCTAATATTACGGGTAAAAATAGGTTGCTGTGCAGTACAGCAAAATGCACAAAGTATAAGGCATATTAACAAAATTAATAGTTTGCAATTGCATGCTGTATTGCAGTTTCTATCATCTCAATGCCAAATAGTTTTATGTAATTTTCATCTCCATGAGTGATTCTACTCGTGAAGAAAATTCCACATTCCTGTCGTGGGGACAAGTCTCTCATAAATAAACTACTTCTGACTACCCACAAAATAGTGATTTTCACGAGTTTGTGCCAATATTACAAACCCAAAACAGATTGACGAACATGCAAAGAGCTGCAGGATTAAACATGTACAGTGCTATAATGCTAACAATATTACATGTTATAGCTGATTAATAGGAGCCGTATCCATGCAAAAGAGATAAGAGAGATATAGTCATACGAAAGTCGGTAGTTGTTACATTCAGACAAGACATGAGATAGCAGATATAGACAGTATTACTAGCAATATATGGGATGCTTTTATAAGATTGGAAATATAGGAAATGAAAGCACATGACATGAGAGATATATTCAGAAGAGAGATAAGAGACAGGATATATGTATTCAGAAGATAATTTGGAGACCATACATTTAGAACAGATATCTTATTTTAACTTGCAAAGTGCCTTGATTAAGGCGCTCAAATAAAGAATTAACTATTTGTACAGCAGAACTGTGATGAGATGAGTTAATGAGAAGGATAGCAGTGCATGATAAGCATGATGATGATGCGTGAAATAAACGATGATGAGAGTGACAATGAGTGGTTGATGATGAGTGAGTGCGATGATCGGGGAGGGAAGTTGTGAAAGGAGATTATGGGGAAGAGGAGTTTGGGTAAGCGAGACAAAGTGAGTGTTTTAAGGGAAGAAGGAAAAATGGAGAGCGAGGCTGATTGTTTGAGGTGTAGGGTCAGCTTGTTACGGTGTAAGGGGGCCAGAAGCGAGAAAGAACGTGGTCGTGATTGTGCACAGGAGGAGGGGGAACAGATGGAGACAGCTGGGATTGTGAACGCAGAGAGCGAGAAGGTTTGTAGAACGAGATGAGGGAAGCGAGATGATACGTTGGGGCGAGGCCACGGAGATATTTGTGAACCAGGTATGAGAGATAGGGGACCATCACCCATAGTCTCCTCTAGTGGAGGCCCTTCTGCCAGTTGTGGTGTGCGAGAGAACAATTGCTGAGCTGCACTCTCCCCTTTAATAAAGGGGACAGGATATATATGGTATTACACGGTATGTGGTGAGTCAGCAGTAATTCTCACATGCAGAACCTGGTCCCTGGTTTATGAACGTGACATTTGTGCCACTGACTCGGCCACAAATGGAGATAGATACGGTAGCGCCTAATGTTCGTTTGAGCCGAGGGACACTTGGTTAAAAAAAAAATACATGGAACAAGCTAAATCGTTTTATGTAAAAAAATGTGGATATTTTGGACGAAGAAGTAATGGAGACATTATAATTAAAATGGATTTAATCAACTCGTCAGGTTAGCAAAATGCAAAATGTTGTAATATTATCTATTTATACAAAATTGTAAAAGCATGTTTATGACAAGATGTAATGTCTGAGCTCTCATTAACACACGCATACGTGTGATCGCATCCAAGCAGTATGTGAACACAGCGATTTGTGATATTAATTTCTTCGCCATCGTTTTACATTTCGTTTAACGAAAATCTGCGCCTGCCAAGAACGTATCGCATCGGTATCTTCCAAGGGAAGTATCGTCCTGTCCAGTTTGCTGTGCCCGAGTCGTGTGATGCTGTACAGAAAATTATCGCCATCTGCTGTTTAACACAGGTGTCAGCCTTTCCCAACATTGGGTGGGTTTGTTTTGTGTGTGTTGCAGACGGCGATGGCTGCTGTTCATCACAGATGTAAAGTATGAATTGTCTATCCATACCTCCGGCCTGGTTGTTGAAGGGGGTTCTTTTTGGTCATGCAATATCTGCACAAGGGCACAGTATAGTGTATATATTAAACGCTCCAAAAGTTGCTCCGACTGGAAACATTCAATGAGGCTGATTTGACAACGAAACAATTGAATTTTTTGTCAGAGGGACACGGATGGAGGGACACATCCCGGGCCCTGTTTCAGACAGCAGCCAGATAGTCATGCTTTCAATCTTAATTGTAAAGTATTTAAACTACACATGTAATGTTCTTCATATTTATTTATGTCTGATCATTTGAATTTACCCTTTTGTCTGAAAATTGGGGAAATTCTGATTTTGAACCACACCAATCATCATTGGCCATTATCTATGCACTACTGGTTGAAGGCGTCTCCAAGTTGTCGCCATAGCTCTTGGTTTCTGCTAAACATTAAATTCACATTTATAAACTGGGATAATCCATCTATCTGTTGCGCATTAGCTGATTCTATCACTCCATCTCCATTCTCCAATGTGGTCATCCTCTTGATTGTTCCGTCTGGCTGCCAATCTGTAATCATCACTTCTTGCGATATGCCCTGACCAAGCCCACTTGTTTTCCTAAGTCAATACATCTCTGATTTGCATGGTTTCTGATCAATGTGTTCCATTTCCAATGGCGCTGTCAGCAGGTATGCAAGAGGAGTTAGCGGGAACTCCTCCACGACAATGTATCTCACGGCCAGACCAAGTGTGGAGCTCTGTTTGGCCGCTGCAGTCCACGGGGTGTGGATCTAGTGTCCCAGCGGCAGGTGGCACGTCCAGCTGGGCCATCATCTCACGCAGTCGGCAGCGTGTCCCCCCAACACGGGCACAAGTCGTGTCCCATTGAAGCGAAGCGGCTTGATTTACATCTTATTCACGTATTGGATTTAGAGCGGTGGTAACAGGCCTGGCATGGTGGCTCCCACCAACCAGGGGCTTGTGGGCTGAGTGGCACCGATGTGTTTACGTCCACACGTCTCGGTGCCAAGAGCCTGTTAAGAGGGTGAGATGTGTCCATTGGGGCGGTGCGTGTCCTTCATGAGGACACGGAATGCCACAACCACCTACTTATCCCGTCCTCCCCCCCAAAGGTAGATTGACGTAATGTCCGATGAATCCTTGCCGTGCCTTAACCACTGTGGGAAATGAGACGTGGGACTTGCACCCCGTGTCGTGGCTTAATCACTGCGGGACATGAGACGTGGCACTTGCACCCCGTGTCGTGGCTTAATCACTGCGGGACATGAGACGTGGCACTTGCACCCCGTGTCGTGGCTTAATCACTGCGGGACATGAGACATGGCACTTGCACCCCGTGTCGTGGCTTAACCACTGCGGGACATGAGACGTGGCACATGCACCCCGTGTCGTGGCTTAATCACTGCGGGACCAAGACACGTCCTGGTCGTGACGACTCGAGTGTCGTGGCGCTTGTGGCCGCCTCTGGGCCTCTCTGCGCCCCTTCCCACCAGCAGCAGCAGCAGCCCCCTCGTGCTCGCCGCCTGCAGCGGCAGCAGGGACGCCGCCTGCAGCGGCGTCCCTGCGGCCGCCTCTTCGACCCGCTGTTTGAGTTCATTCCCCCGACTCCGCCAGATGCTCTCCGGCCTGGCGGGCTGCTCTGCAGGGGCACCGCGACGCCAACGAAGATGCAAAACCATTCCGCAGAGGGGTTAGTCCGAGACATCGTGAAGCCCACTGCCGCACCTGCATGGCTGGCAGAGCTTCGTGTTTCCCGCTGCTCTGACGGATCTGTCCGTGATAGGATCTGCACAGTGTTTGCAAAGTCCATGCTTTGTATGTCCGTCCAATTGAGATGTGTGTGCATGCTTCGACTTAGTTGTGTCAAACGAGTGCGCCACTCGGCTTCCATGGCCCTCTGCCGGCACGACATTCAGGCGTTATGATGTTATCTCTGCATTAGCTTATCAGAAAAGGCATTGCAGTGATTTTAAGCTGCTCTGGGCTCCGAACTCTGCAGGAGCCGCAATTGTAAACCTTTATTACACAGGTGGCAATGGCACAAAGTATTTGTATGAACGGACAATGTTGATATGTATTATTGTATTATTTTACCTTGTCAATACACGCACCACAGCGTGAGAAATGCATTCAAAAGTGCCCCCCATTATTTCATGCAAAACGCTGACTACAACGTGCCAGTAATCCGCCTCTGGACCCCCCCCCCCCCCCTCCAGGCAATTGAAGTGATGCGGTCCAAGATCAGCGTCGCCTCTCGCCTCGTCGCGGGCTGTACCACTCGGGGGGGGGGGGGCTCCAGCGCGAGGCCTCGATAATGTTCCCGCCATCCGAAGGGGACGTGGGGGGGGGGGGCTGCGTGGCGGGCGACCAATCGGAGCGCACCGTTCGCGTTCTCGCGTGCGACGGTCCCCGGGAGACGCCTTCGCCGATTGGCTGTGACGAGGGCACGTGGCCACGCCCGATGACCAATAAGAGGGGCGGATAGGGGGCTGCGTGCAGCGCATCCCACCCGGAGCCACGGCCACCGACTGCCTCGGGCGTCCAGTCACTTATTGTTCACTCATTCACTCCGTGTTCACTCATTCACTCCGTGTTCACTCTCTCACTCATTGTTCACTCTCTCACTGGTGCATTCATTCACTCCGTGTTCACTCATTCACTCCGTGTTCACTCATTCACTCATTGTTCACTCTCTCACGGGTGCATTTATTCACTCATTCACTGGTTCATTCATTCACTCCTTGATCACTCTCTCACTGGTGCATTCATTCCCTGTTCACTCTCTCACTGGTGCATTCATTCACTCCGTGTTGTTCACTCTCTCACTAGTTCATTCATTCACTCCTTGATCACTCTCTCCCTGGTGCATTCATTCACTCTGTTGCGATGTCATCTGTGCCCTTTTCGCTGTATAATGAATGCACTCGTGTATTGACTGTTCCGGTGATTCACTCCATATTTAGTGCTTAATTCACTCCACGTTCATTCTTGGCTGTGTGATGCACCGTCATGTTTGGTGACGAGATCGATTAGTTCCGTATTTAGCGCGTTATGTAATCCACTCCATATTTACTGCCAACGATTCAATCGCATAATTACCGTCTCCTAACTCCACATTTGGTCAATTTTTCATTCACTTGTAAGCGACCTGAGATCGACAGAGCGCGGCTCGGGAGAGGAGGCGCCATGGGTGAGTCTGGGTCGTTCCCTCCGATCCGCGGCGGCTCTGAGATGTTGACTCCCTCGCCACGTCTACAGGAGGAGGTCGTCGTGGTTGCATCATTGGAGTTTGCGTCTCTTCTCCCCGTGGTCGCGTGGATTTCTCTTCGGGTCCTCCGCAGCGATAATCGCGCCTGTCGAGGGTCCTTTGGCTGCTGTAAATGTCCACGTGGCCGCCGCCGCTCCGTTGAGCCATCGTGTGGAGGGGACACGTCGCTTCCGACTAAGAAGAGCGATATTATAGCTTCCCTGGCAACCCTCGTTTTATTCCTGGCGAGAATGTAATTATTGATGTAATTAGTTGACGCTTGAACACATACGATCAGCACGGTTGGCTACGTATGGTGCGAAAGAAGTTCCACATACAAAGTATTAAATAATGAGAATGTGAACTATTTTCTGAAACGATGCATAAGAGGAAATTTATTCATGAATGAGTTGATCGGATTCAAGGAATAGAAATGGTTTTAAGCAACGTTTTAGGTGAATGGGTTGTCGGATTAACGTGACAATATGATTATGGCAATACAGTACCGAGTAAAGGAACAATTAAAGATATAATCCTAAATTATTAATGACTGCTGTAGTTGAATAAATGAGTTACTCGAGTTGAGAAATTCTATGAAGTTACAAAGTTAATTTGTTATTGGACAAATAGAAAATATTTTATGACAGACGAGTTAATTATGGGGTCGGTGAATCAATACCTACATTTCCTCCCCAATGCAAAACAAAAACACGAGTTTAAATTCGTTAATTGGAGAGAGAATAATACTTTAAAGTGTTGCGGTATGTCAAACGCCTCTGCGCTACCGGGAATTCACTCACTGGCCACCTCGCCAGCCGCTATTGCGACTTAAACCTCGCAAAGTGCGAATGGTAAACCACTGTGCGGTGCTACTACGCGCTCCCTGAAGAAGTCACCCACGTTGCGAGCAGAGGGCTCCGCAGGCAGGCAGCCTGTAACACCAAGTGCATCGCACTTGGAAATCGGACCCAACTCCCGACGAGGTATTTACCCTGTCTGCCGTGGGTTCAGTGGTCCAAAATGCATCACGGGTGTAGTGTGCGTTCGCGTGTATATCGCACCTCCGATTATGACGGTCGGCTACGTACGGTGCGAAAGAAGTCCAACATACCCGTACGTAAAGACACGATACTGTACCGAATTGTTGCTCTCGATTGTCCTCGTGTCGCGCAGGGTGTTTTGAGTGCTGCATCAAATGCCTGGGAGGGGTTCCGTACGCCTCGCTGCTGGCAACGATCCTCTGCTTCACGGGAGTGACCCTGGCGTGCACGTGTGGACACGAGGCCCTCACTGGCACCGTGACCGTCCTGCAAACCTTCTACTCCACCCTTGACGAAGACGCGCTGAGCCACATGCAAAATGTGTAAGCTTGCACAGTTTAGGCATCGGGGTGGGAATCACTTTTACGGATAATGTATTGATTGCATTTCAGATGATATCACGATTGTTATGGGAATATGGTAATCGCCGCTCTTCGTTGGTTAGACTTTGGTTAATTATCGCATTGGTTTGTAACGTTCCATTTTGAATACCATCCAAAACCTACCCAATTGGTATTTAAATTAGTTGTATTTTGTGTTACCCAAGTCAGCTTTGCCCGGAGTTGTGTGGACTTCTTGTACAATCTCTACCAATATACCTGTGTGTGTGTGTGTATGTGTGTGTGCGCAGTGTTAGCAGGGCCCAGTACCTAAGCTATGGGCTAGCTTCCACCTGTGCGTTCTGCTCACTGATGCTACTTACTCAAAGCATCTACACAACGGGGTCCGTCACAGACCTGTATGGCACATTCAGCATGACAACCTTCGGGCGCTGCATACATGCTATGGTAATACTTACAATTCTTCACCTTTACACAAGCCACTTCAAATACATTCAGGCAATCGTCACAAAGTGGGGTTCTGTGCAGACGGGGGGGGGGGGGAATATGGGCCCCCAAAGGCAGATATTGAGAGACCATTACAGAGAGACATGGATAGTAGGCCTCGGCAAGGCGAGGTAAAAGTTAAAAGGTAAGAGCAACGAGCCTACCTTTACCCCACCTTTTACCCTTATCCCATACAAATTACCCGATTACATGGTAATTCCTAGGGAACTACACATGAAAAATTTTATAACGGTAAATGCTGGGTAGAGCGCTTTATACATATAGAATACTCTCGATGATTCCAATTTTACACGCTTTCTTTTAACTCACTCACTCTGTTGTTGTCGTTGTATCCTCAAATCTTGTAACTCAATTTTAACCCACTTCCCAATGTGGTATCGACTGCAAACTTGGTATACTTATGTCATACTGATGACAATATATTCTATCATAAAAAAATATATTTCAAAACATGTTTTTACATGTTATGTTTCGGCTTGGGTCTAATTGTCCTTGTTCAACTGACATTGGCTGTAATTGGCCACGGCCCCTTATGTTATGGCAAGCTTCGGGGCCACTTCCTGGAGTCATGGAGTTCTGCCATTACTAGTACAGTTAATAAAAGTGTGTTTTAAAAAAACTTTAAAAAAATACTACTTGTTAAATGCAGGCCACGGACTGTGCCACAGAGCTTTTAGTGGTAAACAAGGTACCGTATTTACCGGGTAATACTTTGCGCTACCTTTACCCTACCGGCTAATTCTTCCGAGCTACCTTTACCCTGTTACCCTTGACCTTTCCCCTCGGCATGTCGACACCTTTACCCTTCACCTTTACCCTTTTACCGGTAAAAGGGTAAATTGCCTTGCCGAGGCCTAGTGGGGAGTGACAAACACAAAGATGCAGAGGAAGTCCAGAGAGAAACATGGGAAGCCTCAAGAGATGGAGATGCAGAATTATCATGATATCAACATATTGCGCATGTCAAAAGTAATGTGAATTCCATTTCTGATCACTGCTAACATCTGTGACAAATTGTATATTAACCTATAGGTTGATTCGGCCTCAAATGAGTACCTAGTTTGATGTTTAAACATTAGCACTGGGGATACAAAATAGCCAGGGATGGTGCTGGTCACACCACACTCTTGTGCATCATGCCAACCTTATTGCAGCATCTTGAGATGAAGTAGACACTGTATAAAATCATAAATAAGTGCTGGCTCTCACATCGCTTTCACCAACATGTATAGCTTATGAGGGGAAGTTTGTCTTTTGTATACGTAGAGCGACTTGAGTGTGTGCTTATGCCTATATTTGCATGTCAGTGTGTAGGGGTGGCCTATTTGCTCATGCTGGTGTGGATTGTTCTAACTGGATTGCTTGCAATTCCGGTCTGGGTGTTCCGGGCCATATCAATTGCCTGTGCCGATTCAGCCCTTGGGTTTCCGGTGTGTGTCGACATCCGTCAATATGGTATGGTGCCCAATCCATCCTTATACATCCCACACTGTGTAATTGTACAGAATAAAAATTGAGCGCTTCACTCCTGGCACATAATCACTGTCAATTGAAATACATTATGTAACACAATTTTTGTTCCTGGGTAGTAAGGGTTATTTCCTAATTGCTTATGCCTCAAAAGTACAGAAAATGACTATTATTCGCCACAAACTTTGCTTTTGTGACTAGGACTTTACGTGAACGAAAGACACATGCACACGTTTTCTCATTGAAAATAGGTACATTTCAAAATATCACTGTCCTGGTCACAAAAGCAAAGTTTGTGGGGAATAATAGCCATTTTCTGTACCTTTTGAGGCCTAAGCAATTAGGAAATAAAATGTAATACCCAGGAACACATTTCTTTGTTACACGGTGATATCAATCAGGGATCTACTCAGCCCAACATTTCTCCAGAATCAATAAAACGAATACCACTTTGCAGGAGTTTGAGTTGTCATCTGAGGTGATCAGATGGCCATGGACCGATTCCTTATCACTCGTGAGCATATACCACTGAAATCCTGGGTTTGACAGCCACCTGTGATTAGATCAGGCTCTTTAGTGTCATGAGTTGAACGTCTTAGTCCAGTCTTTAATGGCGCAAAAGTTTCTCACTTATTTGGAATGTGAAAATTATAAATTTTGGCAGGCAAAATTTAAGTTGTGCTTGTGTTTTGAAATACTAATTTAAGTTCAGTATTGTGTTGTAATGTGGTACATCTTCAAAACTAATTGATGTGTATATCGTGTGGTGAATGTTAACATTTTCAGGGATCCTACCCTGGTCTATGGGTGACACAATCCTGTGTGAAACTGCATTGGAAGACATGTGCAGTTCTGCAGAGGTGAGACAAATACTGTCATCACCGTTGTTTCTATAGCCTTGTAATAGTCACTTTTAGAATTCCTAACTCTAAAGACTCATTACATTGTGGTGAGACAGTCAACCCTTTACCGACCTCAGAAATGTCATGAATTCTTGACAGTTTGTGGTATCATTATAGTTCCATAGACTAACTGTTTTAACCTGTTATTTATTTTTACATGTTATTCATCCATTTTCCTAATCTGGCCAGGTGATACTGGTTAGAGAAAAAATATTTGACTTAGGATCGAAAGCTCTTAAGCTGAAATCCCAATTGTGCATTAACTAAGTACATTATTTCTCCAAGGTTGATAAAATGACTACATTCTGAGAAGTCAAGTGGTTGTCCAATGGGGAAAGTGCCCTTTTGTCACATCAATGTGAATTTCTACCTTTGGCTCAAGGTCACCAACAGAGATGAGCATTACCCCATTGCTCTTGGGTGAGGTCGACTGGCAGATGCTTGCAATGCCCAGTTTGCTATAAACACTACGTATGCAATGTGGGTAATTCCTTGTGAATGTGTTAATATTTTGACTTGTTTTACAGTTTGATGTGACGTACCATCTGTTTGTGGTCTCTATGGCTGGGGCGCTGCTGGCTACAATTGCCATGGTAAAGTTGGAGTACATTTTATCACAGTAATACACGTTATTTGAATCAATATGGTGACAACATTTTGAGTTATAATTATTGCAACTCATCTCAGTAGAACTACTGGACTAATGTGGGGGAGCCCCTCTAGGTGACATGCAGTCCTCGACTTACAAACATAATTCATTCCTGAGACCCGTTTCTAAACGAACGGTTTGTAAGTCGGAACACAATTATAGACTGTATTTAAATGCCCATATCGTCAGTGTGATGAAATGTGTTACGGTTCAACAAAGGGACACATTGGGAAACTCATAAATAAGTATAAATGTACATTTACACGTAACACTGTAAACATACTATATAGAAAATATAACATAAAATAAAGTAACAAATAAAATCAGTTTTATTTTCACTTACCTAGAGTCCTGATGCTGGCTTGCCTGTTGGAAGGGGGACATCGAGTCACCACAATTTCACACACACGGGGGTACTCGCGTGCACACACAGACACACAAATGGGCATGTGCACACAGACAGATCCCGCGTATAGCCTAAACAGACTGTTTAGGCAAGTTCTGTTAGCGAGCGCGTATGAAGGCTGGCACAGTACACGAAGTTGGTGGCCAGCACCACGTCCGACCGCCTTTTGTTTCCCCAGTGGCGATGTTTTTACACCACACCAGCCACTCATTTGAGACCGAGTCGACCTAGGGGAGGCCCAAGACAGGTTCAGATAACACTATTATTTCGTAATTGCTTATGCCTGAAAAGTAAAGAAAATGGCTATTATTCCCCACAAACTTTGCTTTTGTGACCAGGACAGTAATATTTTGAAATTTACCAATTTTCAATGAGAAAACAGGCGAATTTGTGTCTTTTCGTTCACAAAGTGAGAAAAAAACAACATGAATCAAAATTAACATGTATTTATACTAAAGTAATCCAAAAGATGACCACTAAAGATGTAGAAGTGAGTAGTCTTTCGAGACTGTTCCTCCCCACAGAGAGCTCGGTCCGCTGTGGCCAGTCCCGCCCGTGCTCGTGCGTCTTGGTGTTCTTTTGAGTGTTTTTTTATGAAAAAGATTTATTTCCAATAGTGTTACCATATTTTCGGCATACTCAAGTCTGGTTTTGAGAGGTTTTCATCTATAACAAACCAGTTTTACATGTCAAACAAATCATTCATATCTGGATAAAGTTATTGTTAGCTGAACTTCAATGTTGCCTAGTTAAACTAAACTTTTATTTACCAGGCAAAGCACACAGCTATTATCTCTTTTTCAGAAGCAACCTGACTACAAATTAGAAATCAAATCAACGAAGTGGCTCAGCATATGGAAATTGATAGCAGCCAAATAATCTAAACGCATGTTTATTTGGTGATAAAAAGTATTGACAATTTTCTTCAATTAGCGAATAGTTCTGCCCATATCAGCCCCTTGTGTCTCCTGTGCCTGCCTTCAGTAGATATTAATAATACTTGCCCCTACACTTTACATGGCTGTGTGTGTGTGCACGCGCTTGTGGCTAGTTTTGTGTCTTTGTGTAAAAATATTGCAGATTCACTACCTAATGGTATTGGCAGCGAACTGGGCTTACGTGCAGGAGGTGCGCAGTCGTTTGTGCTTGCTGCAAAGAAAAGCCGACCACGACCTCCCTTGAAGTTTAAATTAGATGTGTGTACACAAGCATGCATACTCTACATACGTACACACAACTATTACATTTTGTTACCAAGTGATACATTCCTATTTCATACATTTTCATTAAATTATAACATTGTGATTGTCTCTTTGCACTTAAAAAAGTAATTATTCTTGTAGAAAATTATGCACTTAAAAAAGTCATTATTCTTGTAGAATTTGTTTTAAGTTTTTTTCATGAAAGATGTTAAACATAAATGTACAGTATAAAGATTACCCTATGAAATAACACCCCGATAAACTATGTTGTCTGCTGCACACACGCTGCACAGCTGTCTGATGTAATATCGACTTTAAAGTATTCAGCTAAATTCACCATCGGCATTTCTGGGTTTGCACACCTCTCTACGTGCTAAATACATTTTGTAAAAACATTTTTGTTTGCGAAATATGTATACTGTGTACATTAAAACCTAATTAAGATAGATGCTTATTAGAGGAAAGAAATACATTACATTTACAAAAGTATGTATTGTACAACTTTAAAGTGACAAATCGGTTAATACAGTTGAATGTATTTCTTATCAAACTAAATGTGAATCACCCTTTAAAGTGCATGTTGTACCAGGAGGGCCTACATGCAAATTGTCACGATTGCTCATGTGAATACAATGTACAATAGCTGCGCTATGACACTGCCAAAACAAAGGTGGAGGCATTAAGCTATTTTCTAATATTAATCCAACATTTTTGTTCCGTAAGTGTGGCATTTGTTTTCAAAGAGTACGACAAATGTAAAAACTATATCCAGTAAATAGGTGGGGAGGTCTTCATCCAATAGTGGCTAGATCGTGCCTGATAATAATGAAGATAATTTGGTGATGCAGGAAGACCAGTCAAAGTATTGGATTGTCTAAACTGCGATATTTTGCTCTGAGTTCTTAATGAGGTTGTTACCATTTATTAAAGTATACTGTACCATTGCTGAGAGCAAAAGTACAGTCAGTAATTTATTTCAGGATAAAAAAATTGAATATGCCAATATTTTTTATATAATTTAGTTTAAGCCTCATAGCTTCTCATTTATAGATGTTTTAATCATCTGAAAATGAGTTCCATTTAAAAAGCATATAGATACCAGGAGTGGTTTACAGTATGAACTGCGATAAACATTTTCTTTGGGCAACCGTGTCAGGAGTGAGGCAGCAATATTCTTCAGTAAATACTGCACTCGATAGCATTTCTGCGCTTTTACGGCAAATGTGCAGACCTGAAGGAAAATTACTTAGATGATTAATTAAATGTGGGGATATTCACAAAAATTTGCATTTAAGTTGCACTGAATATTTTTTCAACTAAATACAACTTTTGTTATATTTGCATTGGAAATTTCAAGAGGAAAGACTCATTGAGTTTTCATAGTTTCATTCGGGTCCTGGATTGGGCAGTTTTGTAAAGTCTCTTAATTAATGTTTGGCATGTGGAAGGAAACCGAAACACCAAGATAATTCATGAGTAAGCAATTCAGCTCCATACATATTAAAACCACTTGCTGCACTGCCATCTGATCGACTCAAAGCCCAGTGGGTTTGGGACGTTTCACACATTTGTGTAAACCACCAATACTCTTCTCAAAATGTCTGGGTTACATGTGTGCTCCACCGCTGTATGTTATATTGTACAGTTATTGTCCTGAACATACACTCAATGATTGTAGAAGCACATTTTGACATTCAGGGATTGCATGTATTTTGTTTACACAAGTCAAAAAACTACACCCAAGCAACTTGACAAAAAAGTACAAGTAATAATGCTATATACACAAACCCGACATGAGCTCTGTATTGACCCAAGGTATACGATAGGGGAATTTTATATTTTGCTCTGGTGCACTCGTGGGTCAGCCTTGCGTTGAGAAACTGCTTCCATTTGCCACCGCAATCTATCCACCATTGTTTTGTACAGTGATTAATATTAGTGTGCTACAAGCCTGCATAATCGTCGGTCTGCACCTCAACATTCGTAAGTGTGCATGTGCATAG